GCACACAAGAATACAGGCCAGTGTAACCACAATCAGTAGTGGCACACGCACCCACACAGAACTGCTGATACTACTGCTGCTGCTGCTGTCTGCATCACCCTTCTTGTTGTTTGTGAGTTCAGGAGGAAGTGTTGTTGAGGTTGTTGTTGTGGTGGTGGTGGTTGTATTTGTATTATCAGCAGAACCTTCTTGATTACTTGTTGACTCACTCGCTGAAGATGTATTATCATTCTCAGTTGATGTAGGATTAGAACCACCGTCACTTGTTGTGGCTGAGCTGCTGGAAGAAGGTGTAGTTGGTGATGGTGCACCTTCACTTGCTTCATTGTTTGCATGTTGAGGGTTTTCTGAAGGAGCATCACTGTTCCCTGCAGTAGAAGGAGCAGCGGGAGTAGCAGCTTCAGAAGGAGAACTACGACCATCAGCAACACCACCAGTACCCACAACAGAACCAGTTTCTCTATTTTTACTGGGACCACTATCACTATGACCATCAGCAGCACGTATACTATTTTCATCGGGACGGTCTTGCTGAGTGTGACCACCATGTTCACTATGTCCCTTAATAGGCTGTTCAGGAGCAGTGGCTTTTGGTGTTGGTGGACAAATGTTACCAGAACCAGGAGGGCAATGCTCTTGAGTGTCACCCTCTTTCTTAGGGCAACTCTCCCTGTCAGAAGATGTCCCACAATCATCAGTAGAAGCATCTTCAGGTCCAGTAGTGTTATTCTTGCACTGTGGACCAGTCTCGCCTTGAGGACAAGGAGCACCAGATGATGGAGGTGGTTGTTTAAGAGGGCCACCAGCAGCAGGTTTGCAAGTTTCACCCTCACCAGAAGCGGTTCTCTCAGGACTGCAAGGAACATCAGAAGCATCTGGAAGAGATTCAGAGTCTGCCTCAGCTGTCACACAGAAAGAGACAACACTCAACAGCAAAGCGAGCAGACACAACACACGAGACATCATCACGACAGCAAGATTTAGTTTGTAGTTATAGTCCACTTGAATGCAGAAGAAAGAAGAAGAGGTAGAGATAATTAAATACAAACACTCAATACATTAGAAACACACACAGAGAGAAACAAAGGAGAGCACAACACACAACAATCACTCACACAAAACAACATAAGGAGCAATCGAAAAAATAATTAGTAACACCAAAAAAAGAATACTCCACCATCACTCAGAGTACAACGAAAGAGCACCCCACAATACCCAAATAAGAGAGAGAGCCAAATACAAACACAATACCCCATGGCCCTAGTTTATGTATTAACTTACTGCACACACACATCTGTGTGTACTAGCAAGGGATGTATACCGTCAGTGAGCAGAACAGCCCAGTTTTCTGCAAACACACAACGGGAAAGCAAGTAGTAGAATTATTAGAAAAAGAACACACGCACACACGTAAAAGTAAAAGAAAAGAAATTCGAACTAAAAGAGAAAGCTGGTAAACATATTATTAGTTTATTCACCCATGGGGGATATACGCAATTATGATTATGTTAGTTTAACCATTATTACTATTATTTGTCCTCAAGTGAGTCCCACCGTTCAGTACACGGTAACGGAGACCAACACAGCCACAATCAGGAGTGGTGCTGCAGTGCGCATCCACACAGGACTGATACTGCTGTCAACATTGGCCTTGTTTTTTACGGTGGAAGCGATGTTGCTGATCTCTGCGTTCGGTACAGGTGATGGAGTGGTGGCTGATGCATCAGTATTAGTGTTCTCGGTGCTAGCCGGAGTAGTGGAAGTGGTTTCTTGTGACTCTGATGGGGAAGTCGCATCAACAACAGCTTCAGGAGATTGCTGGGTAGCATTAGAGGTGCCAGGTGTAGAGTTATCAGCTGTGTTGCCTGATGTCTCTTGATCTACTGGTGATCCTGCAGTAGAACCCGGAGATTGGTTTTGTCCTGTAGTGGCACCATCTGTTGCTTCTGTTTCCTGTTTGTGTTCTTCATCTTCAGAGGCACTAGGAGGCTTTACTGCTTTGCCGTCTTCCATTCCATTTTGTGGTTTTTCTTCCAACACACGATCTTCGGATGGCGCCACGACATCAGGAGGATTTGGTATCGATGGTCCTGCTGCTTCTTCTTGACGACCTCCTTGTTGTTCCATGTTTGTGTCTCCTTGATGTTGTTCCTGATTCTGTGAGGTTAATCCACTATCATGATTAGCCACATTACTTGCCGTCTCAGGTAGTCCCCTCGCCGATCACTTTACGTTATCAACAGTAGTATTAGGGTGCTTACACATATGCTTAATGCTTGCGTTTATAAGAAAATCTTCCCATCCGAACATACCATCACTAGTAGTCAACTTCTTTGGCTGTTCCTCAGTCGTAACAGCACGAACAGCATCAGGCCGAGGAGAAGAAACAACAGCAGCAGCCTTCATGGTATACCCGCAGGCGCAGCACAGCACAACGGCCAACACACACATCACACGGTGCATCATCATCATCATGAGAGAGACAATAGTTTGGTCTGCGTAAAAACACTGACCTAGAAAGAAAGACAATCAAAAAAGCAAAAAAAAAGAAAATAATAACTGAAGTATCAAACATGTTAGGACACACAAACATCGATTACCACTATGGAAACTCACATCGTGAAAGTAAAACCTACCAGTTAAAGAATGCAATAACCTCAGTAAGAGTAAAAAAAAAAAAACGCCAACATTCACAAATATCTCAAAAAAGTTCAGCGACCCACGAAAGCAAAATCATCAAGCAAAGAAACAGATAATAACCATTAGCCCAATTTACCCAGTAAACACAGAAATATACACCAACTATGGGTGTAACTCTATATGTGTGTATATATACGCAATTATAAATATAAATTTATCTGTTATTAGTTCTCTTCTTCCCACTTCAAAAAAGCATTTCATCATTATCATCACAGTGCAAGCCCAGGTGCACACACACAGAGAGTCTCCAAGAACACACACACACAATGGAGTAGCAATAATAATTATTATTATAGGATAAACACACAGAGAGCAAAAACACACACAAAACACATTAATATTAAGAAACAAAAAAAAAGAAGAGATAATCCCGAGAGGTTAAAGATTAGTTAGACTGTAGTGTGGATGCATGCAAAAAAAAAGAAAAGAAAACAAAGGATGACCTGAGTCACACCACCACCACCACCACCAGTCAATCAGCACACAAGAATACAGGCCAATGTAACCACAATCAGTAGTGGTACACGCACCCATACAGAACTGCTGATACTGCTGCTGCTGTCTGCATCACCCTTCTTGTTGTTTGTGAGTTCAGGAGGAAGTCTTCTTGTTGTTGTTGTGGTGGTGGTGGTAGTAGTAGTGGTTGATTCCTCATTACTTGTTGTAGTATCATCCCCAGAATTTGTAGTTCCTGCAGATGATGGGTCATTCTCATTCGTTGTGGCACTAGAATTTTCACCGCCACCATCAGTGGTTGAACCGTTAGTAGAAGAAGGTTCTGCTTTTCCATTTGTATTTCCTGCAATTCCACCAGTTTGACTGTCACTTGCAGACGAAGGGACATCAACACTCTCCCCAGTAGTAGAAGCACCAGGAGAGGGACCAGGAGAAGTGGTAGAAACACTAGGAGCCACAGCAGCAGCTTCTCTCCTGGTGGCATCAGTACCTTCAGGTCGAGCTTCAGCTTCTCTGTCAGAAGGATCTTTAGATTCTTGTTGACCAAGACTCCGGCCACCCTCTTGTGCTCCAGGATTATGTTGATTACTTTCACCACCACCACCACCACCTCTTCCTCCTCCAGATACATTTGTAGTAGCACGACAGTTTTCATTAGAACGTTCACGAGCAGAGCATTCAACTTCACCAGCAGCAGCAGCAGAACCAGGGCCAGGTTCCATAGCGCCGGCAGGGCATTCAGCCCCACCATCATTAGTGCACTGAGAACCACCAGCAGGAGCACGACCACCAGCTTCTGTTGGTGGTGGTTGTTGAACAGTTGACAAACAAATTTTACCCTCACCAGAAGGTTGAGCACCTTCAGGGCAACTGCCCTCAGTAAGTTGGGCGACAGGAGTTCCTTGAAGAAGAATCTTTGTCTCACTCTCCGTATCAGGGACTTGGTCGGAAAGATCGGCGGCAGGCACTTCTTCAGCGAGGACGTGCACACACGCACAGGAGAGCAGGAGAGCGAGGATACACAGCACGTAGCGCATCATTACCATTACAATACTTCTTGTAGTAGTCTTACTTCAATTGCTTACACAGAAGAAAACACAATAATAAAAACATAAACAAATAGAATCAATGAAAAAAAAAAAGATGAAAACACACACCAAATTAAACAACACTCAATAATTACAGCAGAGGCACACACATATGAATGAAGGTGCAACCATAACTCAGATAGTACCCAAATAAAAAGAACAACCCACACAGTACCCAATAACAAACAGATAATCCTAACTAACCCCTCAAAAGAAAAAAAGAAATTAAAGAGTACAACCATTAAAAGGAGACAGCACAGAAATAAATCAAAATGCCTCTTCCTGTAGGACCAAGCACAATTACAAATATATACTTATGTACTCCTTATCATTTTTCGCCACACAAAACACTCCAATACACAACAATGCAGGAAAAAGCACACAGCGCCCAAGCAAAGAAAAGGTGAACAAAAAAACACAAATTAAGAACAGGACCAACCCACACAAAAATAACTCACAGCCAACTGAGTATGCTGGTGTGTTCACGCACTTCAGAATACAAAATGTATTAACTACTATTTTTCTCTTCTCTGCATAAAGCAGACTACCACAGCCGTGCAGAACAAAACACAAACAAGCACCCAGCAAAACAAACAAATCAAAAAAAAGACATTAAACATTAGCCCAATTTACACAGTGAACACAAAAATACACCAACTATGGATGTAAGTCTATATATGTGTATACGCAATTATAAATATAAATTCATCTGTTATTATCATTTCATTTTCCCACTGCAAAAAACAGTTCATCATCATTATCATAGTGCAAGCCCAGGTGCACACACACAGAGAAAGTCTCCAAGAACACACACTCAATGGAGTAGCAATAATTATTATTATAGGATAAACATAGAGAGAGTAAAAACACACAAAACACAATATCATTAAGAACCAAAAAAAGAAAAGAAAATCCAAACAGGTGAAAGATCAGTTAGACTGTAGGGATGTATGCAACAAGAAGAAAAAGAAAACAAAGGATGACCTGAGTCACACCATCACCATTACAATCAGCACACAAGAATACAAGCCAGTGTAACCACAATCAGTAGTGGTACACGTACCCACACAGAACTGCTCATACTGCTGCTGCCGTCTGCATCACCCTTCTTGTTGTTTGTGAGTTCAGGAGGAAGTGTTGTTGTTGTGGTGGAGTTCTCACTGTTTGAGTCATCCTCTGCAGGTTTTGTAACAG